ATTCTTAGTTTTTTGAGGAATCTCCATACTGTTTTCCACAGTGACTGTACCAATTTGCAGTCCCACCAGCAGTGTATGAGGGTTCCTTTTTCTCCACGTCCTCTCCAACATTTGTTGTTACTTGTCCTATTGATTATAGCTATTTTAACAGATGTGAGATGATATCTTACTGTGGTTTTGATTTGCATTTCCCTAATAGCTAGCGATGTCGAGCATCTTTTCATATATTTGTTGGCCATTTGTATGTCCTCTGGGAGAAGTGTCTGTTCCAGTCTTCTGCCCATTTTTTGATCGGATCATTTGTTTTTTTTGTTGTTGTTATTGAGTTGTATGAGTTCTTTGTATATTTTAGATATTAAGCCCTTATCGGGCTTGCTCGCAAATATATTTTCCCATTCGGATAGTTGTGTCTTTACCTTGTTGATGGTTTCTTTTGCTGAGCAGAAGCTTTTTAGTTTGATGTAGTCCCATTCATTTATATTTGTTTTTGAGGTCAAATTCATAAAATCCTCTTTAAGTCCAAGGTTCTTGAGTTTAGTTCCTATGTTTTCTTCTATGCATTTTATTAAGTTGTTGGCACTGTAAAAGAAGTTTTAAGGCAGACAACTTGACAAACTCGCCAATATCGGAGAAAGAGCTTCTGTCATTTGGAAATGTGAACAATTAGGCCTTGTCAATTTCTCTGCAGGTAGAAGCCTGCAGACCACTGGAAGCACTGAATTGTTCTTTTTTAGGTTACTTTGCTCAGGTGACATTAAATTGAAATGTGGATTTTTAATGATTTTTCTTCTGGACGTAGATAGCATTGATGTAAAACGCTTTCAAAATTGGCCTCATTTACTTGATGATAGAAGAAAATGACTTCTTCAACTTATTTAACTTGAAGAATCTTGAAAAATTCAGATGTTTCTTGACACAGATCTATGCTTATCTGGAACATGAAATTTAAGAACCCTGATTCTGTGCTTTGGCACACTTTGTAAGTCTGGGTTTTCAGTTCTAGTTGCTATCAGAGATGAATTGTGCAACATCATGTAAAAAAACCACTCCACAATTTCAACTTTTCATTCAAGCCAAACAAAAATGTCTTACTGAAAATTTCATTTGTATAATTTAGATTTTTTTCTTTTAAGAAATAGCCATTACTTTTTGTATGAAAAATGAGATGATTTGGGTGAGAAGGATTGGTTTACTAATGTATGTATTTGTTTAATGCATTGTGTGTGTGTATATGTAAGTGCAGAAAGAGAGAGGAGGGAGAGGAGAGAGAGGTAGAATGATGTCAAGCAAAGCTTTAATTATACTCTCAACTGGATCCATAATCTCCCTCAAAACCACTGGTACAGAGGACTCTTCTAGAACACGACAAAGTCAATCCTATCCTGTTAAGATAAAATCATTACATATGTAAAATTGGCACATTGCATATATTTTTTGCACCTAATTACAATTATAAAAATTAGATCCTTGAGTAAAGAGTACTGCTGTATCTCCAGTTCTAGCCTATATAATCCTTATTATTGCTGCAACACAATATACTACATAATTATAGTATGTAAAAATTTTTCTGGTAAGTTTTCTTTTTACATTCTATATTTGATGTTAATTTTGACTTCTCTTGTTTATAGACTATGGTATTTTAATGCTAGTTAATTCTATTCACATTTTTAGTTTGCATTTTTATCTTATGTCCTTAGCGAGTTCACTGATAAATTTACTGATGGAGTTTTTTTCCTTCTGTTTTTGAACCATTTTTATAGTTAATGGAATGCTGGATTTTTCAGATTTCCTTAAAGCTGTGAATGATGCTTGTTCTTTGGTCTCTCAGGATCCAGGTAAAAAGATAACTCTTCGAAGTTATAGAAGAGAATGATTTCGATAGTAACTGATTTTAGGGTCGGGTGGTTATATGAATTTATGTTTTTTTTCAGAATCTCTTAAGTCCTTTTTTCCCCCAGTAGTCTAGGTTGAGTAAAATTAGACATGAGTTATTTCATAAAAAGTGTTAAAAAATCTGGATCACTATGATGGCATCTTAATTTTCTATCTCCAGTCTCCACTTTTTCCTGCATACAACAGCTTGTCTAGTTTTCTTAAAACACAATTTTTGTCATGTCATTCTCCTGCTCAAAAATCTAGGTGCTATTCCTGTTCTTAAATGAATCTAGTCCAAACTTTTATGGTTGACATCCTCACCTCTTCATAATTTTGCTTGCTGCTCTGCCTTTCTCCATAGAACCTTTCGCAGGCAAACACCCCATGCTCTAATCATAAATCTCTAAATATGCAATTTCATTCTTACCTCCATGCCTTTGTTCATGTGTTTTTTTCCCTTCTGTTGAAGTCTTACATCTGTTTATTTCTCTCTTTAATTAACAGTACTTTCTTCACTGTGTATGAAATCTGCATGTATTTCTCTTTAAAAATTTCATATTCTAATGGGTTTCCTAGTAACTTTGAGTTTACACTGCATATAAATTGTAAAGAAAGTCGTTGGAAGGACTCTTCATGTTCATGATAGAAATAGTGCTTCCGAAAGTCTGAAACCTCTAGTATTCATGACTTAATTTTAATAGTGGTTAAACCATTGACAAACTCTGTAGTATGATAAAAAATCTGAAAAGAAACTATAGCATTCTTCTCTCTATACTATCTTCTTAATTATATTTTTAAATAATTAATAACTCCCCCAAATTTTGGATTAAGCTGCCTTGCTATTGTATATTATACAACTGGTAAGAAATTGTTTTAGTTAAAAGTTTTAACTAAGAGATGAGTATCGTATAATGGTTAACTAAGTATCGTATAAGGTTTAACTAAGAGATGAGTATCGTATAATGGTTAAAAGCAAGCATTCTGGAGTAATACTACTACATTAGCATTCTGGGTTTTCCATTTACAGCTGCGTAGTCAGAAGGGGTTTTTTAAGCCTTAGTTTCCTTATCTGTAATGTAGGGATAAGAATAATAATTTCTCTTTTATAGGCCTCTTGTGATAATTGAATGAGATAACCTATAGTTTTTAACACAGTGCCTGGCACATAAACAGTGTTCAATAAAAATCAGCTATTATTTATAGTATATTAGTAGTACTAATAGCAAAAAATCACATTTTATACTAGGAATGTGGCCAGAACTGGGCAAATGTCTACTTGCAGGTAAATTTTTAAAAACCCTATGCCTATGTAAAATTATTTTTTCCCAGTAGGTTATTGATACAAAATCAGTATCTCCAAAGAAAGCTTTTGATTTTCATGATACAGTAATTTATTTATTACTTTTTTTCAGCATTCCAGAATGCCTTAAAGATTTTCTGTGGTATAAAAGGTGGTCGAGTTGCAATTGATGAAGTGGCTGCTGTTTTGGATAGCATGGATATTCCTGTAATCCCTGAAACTTTTCAGGAAGTAATGAAACATGCTAGTATTGACAGTGAGTTATTTGAGTTGATATGTGTATAGATATTTCTTGGATATCAGTATTCTGCTTCATACTTCCTCTTTTCCTTCTTGATTCTTGCTTTTTGCCATCAACATTGCTTTCTGGTGTCTATGGTAAGAGATAATCTAGAAAAATTAAATGAAAAATTTCTAAAATTGTTATATTTTAATATGTTTGGTAAAGTCTAAGATAAAAATGAATTTTTTTTCTTTTCAATCTTATCTCTATTTTCCAATAGTCATTTCTTATCTTTGTGAAGAGGTAATTTCTAGTGTCAAGAGCATTGACTCCACAAGTTAGGAGACCTAAATTTCTTGAATTTTCAACTTTATTATGTAGCTTTGATTACAAAATCTTCCTATACTATTCAGTTACTCTCTGTAAAATGTAGATTTCTTTAAACATTGTAAATATATTTAGCAGATGTTTTATATTATGTGTTTACATGTGACCAGGGGATGTCCTACAAAAATGGGTTGATTAGTGATCGATTGATTTATCCATTTAATGAGTCTGATAGTCATTTAATATCTACTGTATCTGGAACTATGCTAGATGATACACAGATGAATAAAACACATTTCTTGTCCTGAAGGAACTCACATTCTAATCCGGAGTCAAGTAATCTGAAAACTATAATGTTGTGTAGCATGTACTATCATAGAATGTGTATAGGCTGCTAATTCATACTGGTAGCACCAGGGAAAGATCATTATAGGAGGAGATGTCTGAGCTAAATTAAAGGATTAGTTAGTAGGGGTTAATTAGTTACAGGTGGTGGTGAAGAGGGAGAAACATATTTTAGACAGAGGGAACCATTTGTGTAAATGTGGCAGGAAAATAGACATGATGTCCTTTCCAGTCGGTTTCCATTGGTTTTTGTCATTTGTTTGTGGCAGCTTTGTATTAGGCTTTTGGTTGCTGAAATGTGGAGTTCTACTAAGTAGTCATTTATTGTGGGCTATGAGGTGATAGACATAAGTGGAGGAATGTACTACAACATAGAGATTTTAAAGCTACTCTCAAGCCGTATTATTAGCCTTTAGGGCATTTGCTTTTTGGCTTATGGAATTCTGGTCTGGGCTTCCAGGTCTTCTACTTTATTTGGGAGGTAATTTGGACAAATGATGCTCATTTCATAGGGTTGTTATAGAAATTAAATATAAACATTTATCACCAGGTTTGGCGTCTAGAACAGGCTCAAGAAACATGAAGCAGAAACCTAAGAATAATCCTTGATAACTCTGTTTTCTTTGTTCTCATCATGTCATCATTATAAAGTACTATTATTAAAAAAAATTTTTTTTTTTTTAAATCAAGGCAACCCTTGGTTGACCTCACAGATTGCAAGGACCTTGTCAGCTTATAATCCCTTTTTTTTTTTTATTTTAAACTCTTAGATATCTCTTAAATATCTCTATTTTCCGAAATTACTACCTTAGTCTAGGTTACCATAATCTTTCCTTAGGACCATTGCAGCTCATCCTAATAAGCCTACTCATATCTAATCTTATACTCCTTTACATTGTAGCCAGATGATCTTTTCAAAACACACATCTGATCATGTTAGCCTCCTTGCATAAAATCTAATAATATCTTTTGGGATAAAGAGCCCTTTAGTGTTGTGTACAAGGCCTTGCAGTGTCTGGACTTTACCCAGATGTTCAACTTTATCTCAGACCACATTCTCCCTTGCTCTCTGTGCCTTCTTAGGGTTTCAACTATATGTTATGCCCTCTCCTGTTATAGCCATTACACATGTTCTTTTCCTTTCCTGGAACATTCCTCTCCTCCTAGTTAATTCCTACTTACTCTTTAGATCTAAACTCAACTCTAATCTTTAGAGATGTTTCTCTGACCTCTCTGACTATATAAAATTCTCATATTATCTACCCTCACAGCACTAATCACAGTTGCAATTTGTATTTTTAATTGTTTGATTAAGATCTATGTATCTTAAATAAAACTAAGCACCGGGAGAGCAGATATCATGTTTACTTATGCTCAATGTTGTTACCTCAGTATCTATCACAGTGCTTATGGCACATATTAATTGCTCAACAAATATATGTTGAATGAATTAATCATTCTCACTGTTTAGTTCACCTCTCCCAATCAGGGAAAACAAGATTTCTTCATTTTGTCGTATTAATAAGCTGGCTGAAACTTGAGGTAATATTCCTCCTAAGGAAGGTCCTTGTCTTTTGACTTGGAAAATCATTTTAATAGATATGTTTGATTATGGGAGTTAATGCCTCCTGGGAAACTCCTAGTTTGAGCAAAGGGTAAGGCAATGCACTCTATGTAAGAAAACAACAGGAATTTAGAATACAACAATAGCTCATCTGCAGTTGGAGGAAGAAGATTGAGGGAATCTACACATAAGAGTGGATGGGGGTATAGCAATCACTACGGAGTGGCCAGGAGAACTTGAGGACAATACTATGTGTTGTTAAAAACTCCAATTTTTGCAAATTATCAGTAAAAGTTTGTTATGTACAATAGCTGTGTGTTAATATTGTTGGTGGGTAGATTTAAAGGATAAAGATCTATAGGTTTTATGTTAGCTAGGCTTAGGGTGGAGAGGGGAGGTAGCAACTGTAGAATGTGATAATGAGTGTGATTAAGAGTCCATGGGAATAGAAAATAAAACAAAAATCAACCACAAGAGTACAGACAACTCAGGAATCCTCAAAGTTTGAAGAAACTATTAACTTATGTTCATATAACATATGGTCTGGGGTTTGAGCTATTTTACTTAAATATTGAAGGAAAAACAAACCCAGAAAGCCAAAATATTTGGGTCACCAAGGTAGGAGACATACGAATTTTCTGCACCAGAATTTTGAAGTAAGGAATAATATAATTCAGCTTTCCCTCTAGTATAAGGGATAGCACTGTAGGTTCTGTTCTAGCATCCTGTATTTGTATTTGGTTTGTTTTTTTTGGAGTAAGGATGATAGGTGTAGAAAATGTTAGTCTTTATGAGTGTCATAATGAAGAGGAAATAATTATGCCACTGGAATTTGCAGTAAAGTCCAGCAAGTGTTTGCTCTATTCATATATGGCAAGAGGAATATGGAAAATCACTTGATGGCAGTTCTGGGAGTGTCAGGTATTTTGGTTTCTGATATAGGGTATTGGTGCAGTAGTTTTTTCTCTCACAGAGGTTAGTTATCTGGAGATGAACTTGGTGAAAAATAAGTGACTAACACAACCTTTGTTAGAGGAGGTTTTTTGATACTGTGGGACTCTGAAGATTACAGAAATGTAGTGTTAATGATTACTTAACACCTTCAAAGTAATGTTGCCTTGAATGTGACCTCGATGATTAAGATCATTTTTTTTTCCCTCACACTAGGTAATTGTGTTTTCCAGGTTGAATTTCCTCTAAAAGTACAAATATTATAGCGGGAGGCTGTTTTGAACTTCTCTTTTGAAATAAACAGTATCTATAACCATACTGATTGTCTCAGTTTCAACCAGGAATCATTCATTAAGGTTTTGATAAGCCAGATAGGGGACAAAATAGTAATTTCAGATTCCGGAATGCTTCTCTGGCCACCAGGGACTATTTAAATAGGTAACATTTATTTGGGAGGATTCATGATACGTGTCTTTTATTAGAAGCAAGAAATAAATTTTGAGCAATAGCTAGTAAATCTGTATAAATGATTGGCTATTGCATTCTCATTGGTTGATGTTGGACCTCTGTCCAGAGTAGGGAGTTTTCTAAGTGGAGAACAGATAAAAACAATATAACCTTCTCTGCTGGATTAGTGTATGTATGGACCAACAAAATACTTGATCAAATTTAAGAGCTTGAGGGCTGAAGCTATGGTTTAAGAACTTGGGACATAGAATCAATCTATAGTAAGTGCCAGAAATTCACTGGGGAGATTCTCTGAGGTGTTAGAACAGGATAAGGATGAATACCAAGGAAATAAGAAACCAAACTATAGTAAGCAGTTTCTAATCAGAAGACAATAGCATCAATTTGGTCTAGCACTTCTTTGATTGGGTCGAATACATACTTGCTGTAATTTAAAGCCCTGCAACCTGATATAGCTTACCAATTTTCAAAGAACCAGAGTGAATCAAACTTACCCAACACTAAAACTATACTGTGTATAATTCTTCTTTGACTCAGAAGTCACTTTAAAAACTTGCATCTTTTTCTCAGGGTCTTCACTTATACATATAATTGAACAGTTGATTTCTTGTGAATAGACTGATGAACAACTCAATATTTTTATAGATGGCTAAGCCAACTCCCAGTCTTTTTCACCTTGGATGGCAAGCATTCAAAGGCAAAAACTATTGGGAAAATAATTTTCTACCTCCAAGCACAATTGAAATGACATTATTCAAGATGACTGCATCTGAACCCATCCTCTGTCATGCATTGCCCAAGAAGGAAAATGGTCTTAAATAGGGGCAGGGGCAGGAACGGTAGGAAGTTATAATAATGAGAGTGCTGGGCACATAGAAGGTGCTAAGTAAATGTTTTTCTGATGTACACAATGTAGATACTGCATTATTTTTCACAGCCTTCAGTATATTTTGTTCATTCAAAAATAATTTTTAAGTGATATTTTAGTCTTATTTTTCAGTGTGTAATGAGTTATTAATTCACAATTCCAGATATTATTCAAATATCCATAATAGCTGGCCCTCTATTCCTACTTCCACACATTTCTGTGTTATTTTCATATTAGAATAGGATGGCAGCTATACTTGTGTTCAAAATAGAATTTAAACAAAAGAGTTTAAATTTCTGTTACAGGTAACCACCAGGTGGATATCAGGGATATTATATTTACTTTGGATGAACTACAGCGACAGTATGAAGATGTTTGTAAGTGAATTCTTGTTGCTGTAGAAAGTTTTGTCTATAAATAGTTTTTAAATTAAATTCTAATTTATGAGTTTCATAATACAGGGTTTGAAAGCCTTCTCTGAACTCTTTGCTCTAATTCTTAAATCAGGGAGATAAAAATTTAATATAACGCCCTAAATATACCTAAGTAATGTTGATTATATAATATCAGTATCTCATAATTTTTCTACTTTCATCTTTCCCTTAATATTTTCCTTAATAACATAAAGTCAACTTTAAAACAAAATAGTAATATTTTAAAAAGATAATATTTAATTTGCAATGTGGGTCACTCTGACATCCTTACATTGACTATTTAAAAAAATTTAGTATGTTTTTTCCTATCGTTATTTAGTTTTTCTTCATTAAGTACATTGTTTTTTTAATCTCTTCCTATTGCATATCATGTTGCTTCTTAATCTTTCTCTCATTTGTCCAAATTCATTTGTTCAAGATTATCTATGTACATAATTTTAAGAATTACAGCATGTATTTCTATATAAAGTTTGCTACACAAAAAAGCAACCTTTTGCCTGATACTTCAGGCAAGCTTCTCAGAAGCAAATATTTAAAATGTTTTAGCTAATTACTTGGTATTTATCCACATGACTGTAAACAACATGTGTATTTGCTACTTGTTGATTTTTAAAATTTTGGGTAGATATAGTTAACTCCCTGCTATAAAAAATAAAGATTTAGTTCTGTTTTATCTGCCCTGTTCCTACCACATCCACTTATTCTTTACATACTTATCCATTCTCCCAATATAGTTAAGAGGTAATTTGATTAATTTTTAATTTAGTATTTATATTAACATGTTAATATAAACACTATCCACAACTGAGCCATATAGTATCTTGTGTTTACTTTCTTCTTCTGTGCAAGTTTTTGTTTTTAAATTAATAATTGTCTTATTTATGTTTTTGCTTGGTTTTTAAAAAAAAATTTATTACTGATCCAATCCCAAACACTGCAACCTGTCTAAATATCCTCTTCGTTTTGATGTAACAGAGAGTCTATCAGTTTTGTATTCTTGAAGAAATCTTCCTTAGAATGGTATTATTCTGATATTCTTCAATGTGGATTTGTTGCCCCCTACATCTTGTGTGCAGCTGTCATCCTGGGATCTCTCCTCATTAACATCCTGGATGCTTTTCATTTTTCTCCTCCTGTATCAGATTCTGTCCTCATGTTTGATTGATAGTTTGGGTATAGAATGCTAGACTGGAAATATGTTTTCCTCAGAATTTTGGATTTTCTACTTTTCAGTGTTGCTGTTGAAGTTTAAAATTCTTTGTATATAACTGAATTTTGAATATGATCCTTTGTATATAACTGAATTTTGACTTTACAAGCTTATAGGCTATTTTCTTTGCATATAATGTTCTGAAATTTCATGATCATGAACCTTAAAGTAGGTTTCTTTGCAGCAATTGTGCAGATATAACATCCTTTGATTCTGGGAAATTAAAACATTTTTGTTGATGATTTCCTTTTATTTTTATGTTTTTTCTGGAACTCTTATTATTTGGATATTGACATTCTGGGCTGATTCTCCCTTTTTTTTAAACCTTTTTTTTCTTGCCTTTTTGTTCTGCTTTCTGGGAGATTTCTTTGCTTTACCTTTCAACCTCTCTATTTTATTTTTGATTTGTACTCTTTAATTTCCAAGAACTTCTTTTCCCCTCCTAATGTTATTTTATTACAATACCTTCTTCTTGTTTCATGGACACTCCTGTTATTTCATGGACATAATATCTTCTTTTACACTGAGGATATTGATAATGGTTAAATTTTTTTTTTATTTCTACTGTTTTCTCCAAGATAGTTTATCTGGTTGTTTGCTTTTTGTTTCAGAGGCATTCCTAAAAGTCTGGAGATCTTTGATTATCTGCTCATGTTGAGGAACAGTGAACTAAAAAGCTATTTGCAAGCTCTGAGACTAAGGGTGGAACTAGTTGACAATAGGCTGAACACTGTAGGGGAGTGGTTCTTAACAAGAGGTGATTTGGGGATTTTTTCCATCCCCGGGAACATTTGGTAACATCTGGAGACATTTTTGGTCATCATAACCTGTGCTACTGGCATCAAGTAATTAGAGGTTAGGGATGCTTCTAAATGTTCTATAATGCACAGGACAGCCCCCCTCAATAAAGAATTATCTGTCCTCAAATACCAATACTGCTGAAGTTGAGAAACTCTGCTGTAGGGTGACCTGGCTGGGCTGTTTGCCTAGAAAACCCTTGATATTACTATCTTTGTTGTTTTTTTTTTATTTTATTTTTTTAAATTTTTGAGATGGTCAGAGTGTTCAAAAAGAAGCTTCTACTATATCCTTCTTGGAGGGTGTAGGCTTGCTTACCAGAGTTCCATAGGTGTTTAGTGAGACCAAAAACTGGAGTTCCGATTATTCAGTGTAAATAGTCATGTAACCCTCCCTACTCATTTTCCATATAATACTCCTACTCTTTGTTGTGTTTAGTATTTCCTAATCCAGAGACCTTGTGCTTAACCCTCTCTGATGAACTTTTAGTCTTCTGCTGCAGTGGGAGAAGGTCAATATCTGGCTATGTGGAGGGAATCTAGATATCTCATACTACTTAAATGGACTTTTAACCAACTCTTTAGTTTTAGCTTTACACTTACCCTCACTTTTAGAGGTACCTAAATGCCATAAATTATGAGCATTTGGAGGCTTTGTGTTACAAATTGGGTTGCTTCATGGCTTTCTTCTATTTTGGCTTAGCATTTAGCTTTTTCAGATTTACTAAGTTCGTTTGCTTTCTAGCTTCCAGATTTTATTGCACTTGTTTCTTTTCCTGTTTGTTTTATTATTAATATATGATGTTTAAAAAATTTCTTTAGTTTAAATAGATTTTTTGAAGTTCGTTCAATTTGCCATCATTATCTGAAAGTGTTAAAGTTTATTTTGAAATCTAATTTTATTTCTGGTATAGAAGTTTTTTTGTGTTTTGTTCTTTTCCTACCTGGATGTTATTGATGATTATACACACATTTCCATGCATGATTCTAATCATTTATGTCATGTATTACTTCTGTATCTTTGCTGATTTTCTACCAGGTCTATTACTGAGAAAGGAATGTTGTCTCGAAATATAATTGTGAATTTGTCTACTTTTCTCCTTTAAGTTTTGTCAGGTTTTTGTTCGTGCATTTTGAAACTGCTGTTAGTTGCATTCACCTTTAGAATAGTTATATCTTCTTGGTGATCAACTTTTATCATTAAGTAATGCATATGTAATCACTGGTAATTTTCTCTGCTTTTTCTTAAGTTTACTTTTTCTGATATTAATATAACCACTTCCATTTTCTTTTGATTAGCATTTATATGGCATATATTTTCCATCCTTTTACTTTTAACCTTCCTATGTCATCATATTTGGTATACTGTATTTTGTAAACCACATAGAGTTGTGTGATGTTTTCTTATTCTTTCTCATAATCCCTGTCTTTTAATTGGAGTGTTTAAACCATTTATGTTTAATTTAATTACTTATATGTTCATAGATAGGTATACATGTTATTTTTTTTTATTTTCTGTTTTTCAACCATTTCTTTGCCTCCTTTTTTGAACTTTTTAAAATATTCGTTTAAAATTTATCTATAGATATTTTCATCATATCTCTACATTTCTCAATGATTGTTCAATATACAGACTTAACCTTTACAGTATACTTAAATACATATTTTACTATGTCATAATAGAATATAGAAATTTTACCATTTTATAGGTCTCTTTACCCTCCCCACTTTATATTGTGATTTTCTTATGTATTATCACAACGTACATTGAAAATACCACCAGACAATGTTTATAAATTTTGCTTTCAACATCCAAACAAATTTTAAACTGTAAAGAGGAGAAAAATAGTCTATTATATTTAACCAAATCTTTACCATTCTATATTTTTCTTCCTTCATTTTCGACTGTCCAGATGTCTTTGGGTATAATTTCCATTCTGTATGAAGAATTCCTTTCAATAGTTTTTTTTTTTTTAAAGAGTAGATCTGTTAAAAATGAATTGGTTTAATTTTTCTTCATCTGATAATATCTTTATTTTTTTAATTACTGAAAGATTTTTTTCATTGGATATAGGATTCTGGATTGATAGTTATTTTCTTTCAGCACTTTAAAAATGTCATTCCTTTTACTTCTGGCTTTCACAGTTTCTGATGAGAAATTGGATGTTATTCAAATCATGAAATGTGTTGTTTTTCTCTGGTTGCTTTCAAAATATTTTCGTTTGTCTTTAGTTTTTAGCAGTTTGATCGTGATGTGTTTGGGAGTGGATTTTTGCATTTATTGGGGTTCATTGAAGTTCTTGAATTTGCTTTTTGCCAAATTTGGAAAATTTTTTTTGTCATTATAACTTTAAATATTTGTCCTGTACCACACTCTTTTTTCCTGTTCTTCTGAGATTCGATTGACACAAATGTAAGACCTCTTTGGTATTGTACTCTAAGTCCTTGAGACTCTGTTTATCTTTTTTTTATTCTTATTTTCTTCTCTTGTTCAGATTGAATAATTTCTGTTGCTCTATCTTCAATTTCATGAACTCTTTGTCTAACATTCTCCATTCTGCTATTGAGCCTATTGGGTGAGTTGGGTTTTTTTTACTTTAGCTATTATATTTTCCAGTTTTAAAATTTCCATTTGCTTGTTCTATATATATTTATTTTCTGAGACTTCCTTTCTATTGATTTCAAAAGTATTTTTCCCATGTATGCTGGAACATTTTTATAATAGCTCCTTTGAAGTCTTTGTCAGACAATTCCAACCTCTTTGTTATCTTCGTGTTGGCATCTGTTGACTGACTTTTCCCATGCAAATTGAAATTTTCTTGGTTCTTTATATGCCAAGTGATTTTGAATGATATCTTGGACATTTTGAATATTAAGTTGTGAGACTGTTGGTCTTAATTTCATGGAAATTCTGTGGAAATGTTGAAATTTATTTTCAGCAGAATTGGACTCAGTTTGGTTCAGGCCAAAAGTTTTAATCAATTTTTCTTGTTTTGTAATTACAGTATCAGTTTGTTATTCACAACCTTTGCAGTGCTATTCAAATCTGTGGGCCATCTATTCGCCAACTGGGACCTAGGTGGTAGTCTCTCCTGGAGTTCAGTATACAAAATCTATGGTGTACAGTTTATGGTCAAATCTATATATGTGCAGCTCAGGGTTGAGTCTAGGAGTTCATAATCAACTTCACGAGGTTAGTTTTCTGAGCTTCATTCTCTCCACAATCTACTTGGTGATTTTTAGTCTCTTAGAGTTCTTTTTTAAAATTTGTTTGTTTCTTTAGCCAGAAATCTAGGGCTTTATTTATAATACTATGCTATACACTTTTATGTCTATTCCAACGTCCAGGGACAAGAGGCAGGAGGACAGAGACAGAATAAAAGCAATATGTTCATATATATTCTTCTACCTTTCTAAACATATAAAAAATGCTTATAATAACTATGTAAATGTAGTCGTGTGATAGTTCTATAAGTTCTACCATTTCTGAGTCAGTTTCTATCAATTGATTTTTCTACTGGTTATGGCTCATATCTCCTGATATTTTAGATGCCTTTTAATTTTTGATGGGATGCTGTACATTGTAAAGTTTATACTGTTGTTTGCTGGATTGCCTTAAACAGTGTTGGAATTTGTTCTGATACAGTTGAGTTTCTTGGAATCAGTTGAGTCCTTCTGAGACTTGCTTTTAAAAGTTTAAAAAAAGTTTAAAAAGCATTTTAAAGCTAATTTAGCTCTACTATAAGGTAATATTCTTCAGATGAGTCTATGGATGCTCCATGTATTACAAGGTCTTTCTGCTGTGACTGGTAAGATCACAAATCACTCTCAATTCTCGTTGAGTTTCAAAAATTGTTCTACCTACACTTTTCTGGTAGTTCTTCCCTTGTCTTTTGGTAGTAGTATCCTCTCATGTATGTGCTGATTAATATTCAGCCAAAGAGTCAAGTGGACCCCTCTGTTGATCTCCATAGCTCAGCAGTTCTCTCTTTTCTGGCACTCTGTTGTCATATTCTAGCCTCTTTGGCCTTCTTTCTCTCTTATCTCTATTTCCTCTACTCATTCAGACCAGCAGGCTCTGTTCAAGTTTTACTTTCCTATGCTGTAGCATGGAAACTCCTTCTAGACAGTAAGCTGGTGCAATTGTAGGGTTCAACTCATTTGTTTCCCTTCATTAAAGGATTACTGTCCTATGCTGCACATTGTCTGATGTCTAAAAACTGTTCCTTTTCATATCTTGTCCAGTTTTTTTTGGTTGTTTAAGTCTGAAGGAGAGAGTTGGTTTCTATTATGATGTCTTGGCTTAAAACAGAAATGTCAAAAGATTTTTTTTTTTTTACCTATTCACTTAGCCTATTTCTTTTTGATAGATAACACTTAGAGATCCAAATCACCAATTTTAAAGATTTCTAGACTTTTAGTATCTAAAATTAATACAGTGTTATATGTCAATTAAAAAATTAATTTTAAATTTTTTTAGATGTTTAAAATTCAAATATTTTCTTTTAGTTGTTCATTATAATATAGACTACGCAAAGAGACTTTCTATTTTCTCTAAGTGAAATGTCTTCATAGTCAAGATTGTACTGCTACTCTGTTGAAGTCTGTTTTTTGATTTTATAGGAGCTTGACAATCTCCTAGAGTTGTTCTGAGGATTAAGTATTAAAACATTTGAAATACATTAACATGTGTTATTTAAATGTAAAGTACTATTCGGAGCCATCAGATAAATTTTGTAAATAAAGTTCTAGTTGGGACATTGTATTAATATTTTTCTAAAGATATTATGTTATATACAAAGTTAATTTTTCCCACAAGTATTGAGAATCTTTAGTAATTATTTGTATTCTAACTTTATAAATAAAAATTTCCCCTCTACAACTTCCTCATGGTTCTGCAACTTCATAACTAGGGGATAATGTATTAAATATATTAAGTATATTTAAATAAGTATTTAAGTTTTATACCTAAATAAGCTTCAGCAGATTATATTTAACCTAGTTAATAGTTAACATATTTTGACCTTCAGCTCTGTTAGTTTTTTTCAACTTATTAAATTTGTTTTATCAATTTAAGCAACGGATAATATCTTGAATATCTTTCATGAGGACTTATTTTTTAAACAATATTACAAATTGTACAGGTAAATGAAATAATTGAATATGTTTTTCTTGCTCAGCAATTATGGAATGGTCAGCCTTGGATGAAGCTACTTCAAACAGAAAGTTATCAAATGTGTCAGGAGGTTGTCTACCATGTAGGAAGAAAAGCGTTTTATCTTCCAGACTGCCTAAACTGTCATTATCCCCAAAGTTAAATAGAAAAAAACTTCAATATCATAAAATTATGGAGGATAATGATGACCTGGAATTTAAAAGACCAAAAAATAATTTGCACATAAGAAAATTCGTGGATGGGATTGATAGCAATAATGTAGGATTCCAGGAATCATATTCAAAAGATAGCATAAACTTTAAGAGAAGTTCAGAGAAGGTTGAAATTTATGATTCAAAGTCTGAACCACAAAACTTGAAGAGTATTACAAGCCTCAAAAAGTCTCTGGATATAAGCGATGTTTTTAGCATCCCAAAACTTCAGAAGCCAGCTGTGAGAAGGCAGTCCAGCCTCCTAAATCAAGTTTCATCTAAGGAAAAAGCTACAATTAATGCTCTGGGTCAGTATCATATATGTAAGTCAAAGTCTAGGTCCTTTGAGTTCTTGAGTATCATAGAAACAAGCTAAGTTAATCAGTTATTAGTTGTAGACATTTCAATTGTCAGTATTCTGGGTAAACACCACTTCTGGTACATAGGCCAATAAATAAAATGCTGTGGTTTTGATAATAGTTCCTTTTCAGATGCTGCCTTTTGGGGGAGCCTAACTTAGACTGAGAAGCTTATTCAGTGATCAGATGGAGTCACTCAAGTTCCCTAGAAAATAGAGGGCCTGTTTTCTTTTGGAAATGTTTATTTTATAATTTATTTAACCAAATATGTAAGAAGTCTATGTGAAATTTTTGCACAGAGTTCCATAATTTAACTATATGATATCCATAGTACTTCAGGCATTACCTCTTATGGATATGGGACTATCAAGAGAAAATAACTAATACTACATATCTCAGATCTCCCAGGCTTTATGGTCTTCCTCGAAGATGAGCAATGGTTTCCCAACAATTACATGTTTTCCTCCTTCATACTACTTAAATCACTGAAGTACTGTGTATAGAACCCAATTAAGCACTCCTTCCTATAGTCCTTGGCTGAAGTTCTTTAAGCTATGTTTGTATTCTTTAAAGAAACTTTCTGACCTTTTTATTGCATTTAGTATTAAACGTAATTATTAAAATGAGTGCTTAGTGAAAAATTAGTGAATCTTAAAACTAATGCATATTTTAAATAACTCAGTTGAAAAAGGAGTATGATCTATTAAAGAGCTACACAATTATTTATTCTGATTTCTTTACTGATATATTGCTGTTACTCTGTGTTTCATTCAGTAAGAATAAAAGCCCTGGTAAAAGAAATAATGGAGTAGTAGGCAGTTAGCCAGTGGATAGAAGAGGCCTGAGAAAGAAACCGGTAATCTTCCTAGTGTCACCAAAATCAAATGATGTCACCTACCACTGCATACTTAATGTCCTCTATATAGAGAAGTAATGAAATAGGTTAGCTGGTATAACTTCTCCAAATAAATTGATGGTAACTGGGCATCTATGAAATGTGACTGCCCCTTGATTTACATTTTAAAAACATTTTTAACTTTTCATTTCAAAATAATCTTAAATTCATAAGAATTACGCAAAAGTAAAAACATTCTTATATACTCTTCATCTAGTTTTACCGAGTATTAAGATCTTATATAACCACAGTACAATAATCTAAACTAGGAAATTAACATTGAATACAGCATTATTTACTAATCTAAAGACCTTATTCAAATTTTGTCAGTTGTTCCATGAATGTCCTTTTTCTGGTCCAGGATCTCATCCAGAATGACACATTACATTTAGTTGTCATATGTCCTTAGTTTCCTCTAATATGAATGGTTTCTCAATCTTTCATGACTTTTACACTTTTGAAGAATATTGACTAGTTATTTTGTATAATATCCTTCATTTTGTCTTTTCCTTATATTTCTTCATGAATAAATCCAGGTTATGCATTTTGGCCGTAATACCTCAGAAGTAATATAATTAGGAGGCACATGATGGCCACATGTATTTGCTTCTAGTATTTTATGATTTTGAAGATTGTGAGCTGAAATCATGAAAAAGTAATGTTACAGGGAAGAACTCTCACTTTTTGCTCGGAATCTTTGAATTTAAAACATACTGGTGTTTTGATCTCTTGGATTTATTCATTATATTTTAATCAGAACCAAGCAGCATTGGCTGGGTCACTGGAATATTCTGTTTCTCCAAACAAGTAGTTTATAAATGTTTATAGAATTTCAAGATACTTTCATGTGTGAGTTATAAGAGAAAGGTTAAGTATAATGTAAGATAACAGAAATATGAAGAGAAAAGCAATCCTTCTGTAAGGTAATAGTAAGTAAATAAAACTTGCTTTCTGATTACTAGATAAAGATTTTAGGTAACAATTATTGCTTAAGACACATAAATTCTGTTGCTGAATAGTTCTCTACATTTTATATATTTAGAAAATGTCTGTGAAGCTATCAGTAAACCCCAAGGAAATTACATTGCTGCAGAAGAACTTCAGTCCATTTTGCCTTCAATAGGAATTTCTTTATCAGATAAGGAATTCAAGAAGATTGTGACAGACACCAGTAGAAATGGTGAGAAACTGATACTACAATACTTTATGAGAAAATTAGATACTTTTATGGGATAGTATTAAATGTTGGAGTAAGTTCTCTCAACTAGAAATAGAACAGAATGGGCCATTCTAAACAAGATTCAGAAAGAACATATAAAAATAGAAAATAGTAAAAAAATATTTCTGGAAAGTCTGACCTAATGGATTAGTTTAGAGGGCCTAGGCCTTTCATATCTCAGAATTGTTTCAATTGGCTTCATTTCTATCTCTAGCTGTGCCTTCTAGTATGAGACAGGTATTGCAGAAGGCCAGTACAATTATAGAGAGGTTCAGGAGCAAAATCACAGTATCCAAGGGGTACAAAGTCTCTAAGCAAATAGTCCAGGGATGTAAGGAGAAATAATTGGAGGTTCTCAAATGTAGAGGGAGTACCATAGCTAGAAATTTAAGGCTAATGATAACTATCGAGGCAGGTAGTTAGCATCTAGATGTTAAATGACATATCCCAGTCAACAGCCTAAATTCAAGGAAGAGTTTAAATTCCCAGGAAGGGTTTTTGTTTTTAGAGAAGTTGTTTTGTCATTAAGTAAAAATTGTCCATAGCAGAAATCCACTTGAGAGGAGAGGGCAGAGGCAACATTTTGGGGAAACACACACTTTGAAATAATTTTAGAAGCGAATTCTTAGAAACTGAGCAAAATTTCTTAGCTAAGGCAAATAGGAATGAAGATTTGATTTAAAAATTTAGAAGTAGATGCTACTAAATAATTGAGCCCTTTTTGCTGCTTATCAGGATTGGCATGATCACTGTGGTGGGTTTGTATTTAAAAATAGGTAGTTTATTAATTATTTTTAATTAAATTGGAAAATACTTGTAAATTTAAAAATAAAAATAAATAAAAATAGGTAATTATTTGGACTTGCTGGATACTAGGGTTAGGGATGGGGATACTTGAGTCTATCAGGACTTATTAGTATTGTCAAAGTGTCTTAATGGATGGTATACTGATTGGATTTTCATGATAGTGTGAAATAGACTCCTTAACTTTCTCATGGTCTATCTATATGGGCACCTTTTCTTTTTCCTATATCTATCAAGAACTGAGTACCTAGCTCACTCCTTTGCACTTTGTAATAGATATTGAAAAATCAGGGACTTTATCTTACTTATTGTTGTTTTCTTGGTGCCTAGCATAGTTCTTGGCACTAACATGTCCTCAGTAATTGTTGAAATGAACTGATCTAATTTAGAATGACTCTTCTAGGGAGACAGGATATAAAGGAGAAATAGGATGACGATGAAGTAAAGGCTACATAATTTTTTCACGTTTTATTAAAATGTGTATTTTCCTTTTATGCAAAATAAAACAAAATGTATAATCTGTTTATTTTACAGAAAATGGAATGGTGAAGTTAGATGACTTTATGCGTGCTGTCTTCAAGGAGCAAAGTCTTCCTGAATATGATGGTAGGTAGGAAATTTATTTTAAAATGATATGG